GCTAACTTTCATATGCTTTATTTCAAATGTCAAATTCACAATTTACTACATTTACTATTTCGTGCTAGGCCAAATTGGTCTTGCAGAAAATAGGAGAAGAGAACGCCATTTTGGTTTTAACTCTCGTAAATTTAACTTCAATTTTTCCCACTTTTCGGCGTAAGGGAACGCTTTCTAGCAAAAATTCCAAAACTAGTACAATATGGTACTATATTGCAGGTTTGGGAACACAGCTAATGTCTTTTGACTATGGTCAAAATTTAAAATAACAGCTGATTGAAATACATCAAATTGTGCAGGATAAATCTTACTAGAAGAATGTTACATTCAGTAAGTTCTCAGCGTAGAACTGTCAAACTTGCTTTTCTTTTCGCTCTCTTTAACTGGATATTTAAGTCAACAGACAACATCCAGTAACATTTGGTAACAATTGTTACCACATATCGAGTAAACAGGCACAGCTAATACCTGATAAATATTTAATAAAAAAGTAACATATATGTTTTTTATATATTCTTGTTAGTACAATATATACAAGATAATCCGAACCTCGCAATCCAGATTATTCGGTAATTATCCGGATTAGCGAGTTTTGAGTGTATTACGAAAATATTGAACAGGTATATGGAAATTTATATATATATATATATATATATATATATGTAAACTTAAACTAACATTATATTGTTTTAATATTATTCTAAACATCTAGTTTTTTGTACCCTGACTTTTGTACCCTTAAATTTACCACGATTTATCATACAAATTTTCCAATAGCCGCAGGGTTTATTCATGGCATAATTATACAAGGTAGTCTCATGCAGTCATACGTTTCCAATTTTTTCATAAATTTGCCTTTGACAATAGTCAGCTTTCAAAATTTAAATCAAAATATCTTCCTTCGATATGTACGCATATCATGTGTTGAGTGGCAAAAATTGCTAAATAATTTATATTTATAAATATTTTGAAGTTTCCTGCCTATAGTAAATATATTTTGTTTAATTTATTGAAAATATGTCAATCGACATATATAAAATTGTATCGAATTTATTTTTCATATTATTTAAAATTGATAGATGAGTTCGAAATTAAAAAGGGTTGCCACCATAAAATTCTCAAATGAGACTACCTTCTGTAATTATGCTATGGGTTTATTTTAAATCATGGACAAAATCATGATACTAATGAGAGGCAACCCAGTTTTTGTACGAAAAAATATATCCCTCTCACTGTTTCTCACATTGTTTTGTTTTTATATTCAATCGTGATGCAATAATAGTTGTGTCTGTTTACTCGATATTTGGTAACAATTCCCAATGGGAAAAATGAGAATATATTACATTGAGAATCGACTCAGTAATGTATTATAATCATTACATTACATATGGTCTGTTCCCGTACTGCAATAATCTACTACTTTTTACTACAATAACAAATTTTCCTTTATGTTATCGAAGAAAATAGTTAAATCTAGTAGATTCTTGCAGAACATAGTATAATTATTACAAGGTACTGACAAGTATTCCTAGTGTACCGAAGAGGCATGCTCAACAAAAGTTAAGCAAGAGCTCACACACCAACTGATTACAAGTTTTTCTCAAGGTGGTGAAATAAAAATTACATTTTTAACATGATCGTCTGGAAGTAATTACTTTGTTATGGATGAAACAAACATTTGATGGTATTCACTACTGGATTTTGGCAAGAAATCATAACCTTTCATTCATTTTTCGCGTTTTAATTTTGTGTTGAAAAAATGTGAAATAAACACAAACACTTGTTGCGTATATTTATTTTATTTTTTGCAGAAGAGGCCACACGTGCATAGTTGCTTTTTGGTTATTCCCCTCAAGCTGCCCTACCTTGTATTATTGTACCATGTACGGGAACAGACCAATAATGTATCCGTAAGAATTGAGAAAAGAATACAATTGAAAAAAAATGTTTTAAGCTAATGAGAGTGTAATTTCAATTGACAAAAAAATGCATCCCGAAGTATACTACATGGTAATTAACATTTTCACTTTTTCCTTGATTTTTATTTCACGAAGTCCCGAAACTGAGTAAAGAAAAAACAAATATACAAATTCTGAAATTATTAATTCTTAAGATAATGTCAATTGGTTTGTTCCAGTACTTTTTTAATAGTAAAACTAGTAAAAGGGAAACATTTCAAAACCGCTCTCAGAGTACACACAAATTTGAAAAGTTCAGGAACGGAAATCTAGTAAATATGGCAAAATTAGATGAAAATACTTCAAAATCAACATAACAGCCAATCAGAAGTAGGCATTCTTGTTTACCATTTTTACTCGGCCAAATTTCTCGAATAAAAAGGTTACAAAGAGAACGCCATTTTGTTTTGTGCTCTCTTAAATTTGATTCAATGTTTTACCAGTTTTGTGGGTTCAGGAACGGGTTTCAAGTAAAAAGTTGCAAAACTTGTAAAATTAGTAGATTCTTTTAGGTTCTGGAACGGAGCTAATAACTCTTGCAGCATTTGGCCTGTTCCCGTACTGCAAGAATCTACTATTATTTACTACGATAACACTTTTTTCCTTTATGATATCGAAAAAAAATAGTAAAAACTTGTAGATTCTTGCAGTACGGGAACAGGCCAATTGTCTTTAATTAAAAATCTTCAACAATTGTAAGTAATAAAATCATAATAAAATATTCTTACTTTTAAATTTCTATTACAGCAACACGAAGAGATAAATATTTTTTACCTTCAGAAGTACGTATCTATATAAAGGGGAAACACATAAGAGGACTTCAGGAATTGCGTCTTAAGATGGCTTATTTAATTATAAAACAATAAAGAAGAACGGCGTCCAAATTCCTGTTTAACTCTGATATTCCTTTATAAATTGACATTTCATAAAAAGCCAACTTACCATGCCAGGCCTGAATCCTCGTATGTGTTTCTCCCTTAAGGCTTAAATTATAATTATAATTTTTGACAATGAAGGTATGTATTTAATTGTGGACAACTTATTATATAATTGCATATAAATATGCATGTTATGTACAGACATATATATATTTTAATCCGGGCTTGTTGTCAATAAAAGTGTATATATGTCTATTCTCGTATTGCAAGAATCTACTAGATTTTACTATTTTCTTCGATATCACAAAGGAAAATTCGTTATCGTAGTAAAAAATAGTAGATTCTTTGTATGGGATAGTACAAATTAAGATAATTAATATCTTAATTTGTTGATTCACATTAATCTCAAGATATGGCTATGGATGTTACAACTTACATCTGTAGATTATGGAGAGATGTTGTCAAAAGAAAATTATGAAAAAAGTTGAATCATATGTCTGCATAAAACAGAATTGACAATTTAAACCCACTGAGTGAACAAAATCCGGTACAATGTGAACGTTCTATAAGACTACGTTGTATTGTAATTAGATTAATCTCTGGAAACAATTTGCTGAGTAAATGTTCCTGGAAAAGTAACCAGACACAGCTAATAAGGTGATTTATCCAAACCAAAACATCTGTTTTGTATTCGACCATCTGTCAACACGATAACACTAATGCCATGTTCTGACGGGCATTCGAACAACGTAGTTCGCTCTCAGAATTACGTACATGAATTAACCCGTTCATACAACACTATTCTTAATTCATGTCATCAGAGTTTTTTATTTCAAACTTTTTGTTTCTAGTTTTACACCAAAATTGTAACATATTTACGTGAATCATATATGAATCTAAATTGCAAAAATAATTCTCTTTCTCCTGACTATAGTATGAACCCATATCTATATACTTTTAATTCATGTTTTTCATTTTTTCTGAAAGTATTGTTGTTTTGAGTATATTTTCATTTTTTCTCAATTCAAATGTCACATAAAAAATTGGAGAATTTCTTGTTTGGGTTTCTCCACATCGGTTTCTCGTTTTGTACGCTAATTAGAACCAAAGGGAAAGAAATACATATTGCATTATGTAGATTACAAAATTTACATCCTTCTGCATATATAAAAACTCCAAAATTTTTTACTTTTCATTCATCATTTTTAATTTTACCGAAAAAGTTTGAAAATTTTACAAATATTTTCATGCTGTCAAAATTAATTTATTTTCGATAAATTCTCTCAATTGTTAGGGATGGGACAAATTTCTTGGTTATTCGGAGAGTGATTCAAATGTACAAAAGTCGGTGTTCGCTCAGACAATTTTGTATGGGGAACTAAGTAATTACTTCATAATTAAAGGGCTAAGCTGAATGCTCGCGATGAGCCATCCGTTGCGTTATGTGTTATCGAAAATACAACAACCACAAGGAAACGATAACACAAACGCTCGAAGTTGATGTGCGCTGCGCTTCGGAGTTAAATATATTTTAACTTTTTGCGTGCGTTAACGCGATAACAAAAAACGCTCAACGCGAGCATTCTGCTTAGCAATTAAGGGTCGAACAACGAATGAGAGAGCGAACGACGCCCGTCTGTACATGGCATATGGTCTGTTCCCGTACTGCAAGAATTTACTCGATTTTCCTATTTTCTTCGATATCATAAAGGAAAAAGGTGTTATCGGGGTAAAAAAACAGTAGATTCTCGCAGTACGGGAACAGACCAATAACGTTTGAAGTTGATGTGCGCTGCGCTTCGGAGTTAAAATATTTTAACTTTTTGCGTGCTTTAACGCGATAACAAAAAACGCTCAACGCGAACATTCTGCTTAGCCCTGTAGTGTGTAATCGTCCTAAAACTTCTGTGAATGACAGACAAGAACGAACGATCAGACAATAATTGCGACAAACTGATCGTGTGTACACCTCTATATGAATCTGAGTAATCGCCGATAAAAATTATCGATTTCAATGATTTTTCTATAATACGATAATTCGTTTGCGTGTATCGATTTTAGATCCCTATTTCTGTAATGGCTGTTTATTTTTCAGTTTTCATTCAGCTCGTTGAGATGTTCGTTGGTTCGCGCTTATGTTCTTATGATATGTATGTGTGTGTGTTTGTGTACACGTTCTGAATAGTGTGTCCGTGTATCGGCGTTTTTTACAAAAACAACAACAAAGAAGATTCATACATACATCCAACCGGAAGGAAGTTTAATGTAATTTGATAGAATTAATAATTATTGGAATAAACGCGAAAGAGAAATCCAAATTCCATACGAAAATTTCAAATCAAATCGGTGACATCGCTTATTGAAAAATCATATATGTACATATTGTACTTAAATGCTAAAAAGAAGCAAAAAATGAATCAAGAGTACGTGACTGAAAATCAAAGCTATGCAAAAATATATGTTTGTGTATGAGTGTACCGACACGAAGGTGAATTAAAACAATGAATTACGCAAATCGTTAAAGCAGATTGAGAATTGGATATTACCATCGGCAGAATATTTAAAGTGACTGGAAGCACAAAAAGGGCCCAGAGCCATACAGTTAACTAGGAAAAACCGACAAATTTAAATCATCTAACTGCAGAGGAGAAGAACAGTTCTGTGCCTCTATTATGCATTTCCTGTGATTTTCATTTTACGATCTATTCATTATTCCGACTTGTTTTGCAGGCCATGTGGCCCCAAACCTACACACAAACAGACAATTTACAAAATGTAAATTTGTCAGGTCAATGCATTCCAATTTCGACCAAGACTACCGACAAACGGCAAATTATAAATATTTAGTTTTGGTAAACATACAACTAGGTGCTGCGATATGCGGATGAAGATGATGATTGAAGTCGGTGGGGGAGTGAAGAGACCAACAATCATTTAGCCTTCATCTCGAAGAGAAAACAACAAATAATACTCAGACGCACACATTCTACAAAGCCAAAGCTAAAAACAAAAATATATGTACATATATTTCAAGCACAACAAACAAACACAAGCAGTGGTGTCTATCATTTTCGTATAATTAATGCCGTTTCACGGTGTGTACAAAACGACTTTATGAATGAAATTCCCCCACTCCTACGTCGCCCACTGCACCCTTCCCTTCACTTACTACAATCCCAAAAACGAAAACATGTGTCACACGAAAAATTCATTGAGCAAAATATGAATTCGAAACAAAATAGCTTGGTCGCGTCGGCCGTCTCAATGAATAAATAAAAGCCCCACAAGTGGAGGGGGAAGCAAGCAGCGGCGCGGCGTCATATCCACCAACCGACAGAAAAGTTTGCGTGTATACCAGACATCAAGGTTGTTGTGTTGGTATGGACATCCAATATCAAATTGCTTGAGGCAGAACAGGATAGAAACAGGATGTGTGTGTTTGGTATTAATGTTTCTGCATCACAAGGCTCTGTTTTTTTTTCTTCTTTTTTGCCTCACCTGTCAATGAATTTGGCAACTACTCTCTACCCGTCTCTCTGGTACATGGATGTAACGAAGTGTAGTGGCATTTTGCTATTTTTTTTTCTTGAGTGCACTTAACTGTAACACACTATAGTTTGGGATATTCTAATCGATTTGGAATGCATTGATCGTTAATTGTGGAATTACATATTTTATTTTTACAGTGCAAAATGAATAAAAAGTTCAAAGAAAAAAGAGTAGTAGAAAAGAACACAACGCGGCAACACTGTTAAATACCTTTACATACAACCCAAAAAACATAAAACATTGAAACGAGCGAGCAAGGAACATTGAAACGAAACACAATGCACCTGAAAAAGAAACACCCCATTAGTTATGGATCCAATATGGCCGATAATACACGGGAAGTACGAATTGAGGAGCAATTAAAAGTAAAGATTGGTACGTAAATAAATTGCAAAAAATTGTTGAAAATTCGATCGAAGTGACGCGAGTGCAGTGCCCTTGTGACGAATAGTGTAACAGAAAAGGGCTTTTCCTAGGCGAAAACGCTAAAATAAATGTGGCAAAATGTGTTGGCGTTGATGGCCAAGAAGCGCGTCCACTGTGTGTTCCCTAGAAAATGGAATGTGAAACATGGTTTGGTGAACAAATGCTTGCCTTCTTTGGCTATCGTTGGTGTCCAACGTCAAGCGAACGACACTGATAAAATAGTGTCAAATTAGACGATCCGCAGGAATCGTGCAGGGATCTTTAATTGAGAAATCAACATAAAATGGTGCAAAAGAATGTTTGGTGTTTTAATTTTCATAGGCAATTGGTGTGTTGTGTGAGAGTGTGTGTGTGTTTGTGCGTGCGTGCATGTTGCGGAACATAGTTGTCCCACTCACACCTGTGCGCCAGAGCACCTTTGTTTATATCGTTTTGTTAGTTGTGTTGTTGTTGGGTGCGGAACGTTCTGAGCATTGAAACGAATTCCCATACAAATGCAACGATGTGTTTTGTTGTCGTTCTCATCTTCCTCCTGTGTTTTCTTTTGTATATTTTTGTTTGATTTCGTCTTTCCCTTCGCGGCGACTTGATGTTTATTGTCATCATTAGTATGTGTGTGTGTGTGTGCGGATGTGTTGTCGACAAAATTGAAATTTCCCTTTTCATGCAGTTCTCTGTTCTGGTTATGAATGAAATTTTTATTTTTTGGTTTTGTTTCGTTGCCATCGTCGTCGTTGTCGTTGTTGTCGGGTTATTCGACTCGAGTCGTTATGTTGGTTGCTGCCTTTCCTGTTTATTTCGTGAGAATGTGCGCCAGTAGTTGTTATTGTTTGAAGAAACAACGAAAATCATGAATGAATGAGAAACCCCCCATGAGAAAATTAATCAAAATACAAGCAATTGTTGTCGTTGTTGTTGTTGCCCCATATATCGAAGAATATTATTGACCGATTGCAAATTTTCGTCGAACACCGAGTTGATGTAAAAGTTGTGATTATGTTGGATACTTGGATAATTGTCTATTGCAATCCCATTATTATTATTGTATGCCAATGGTTCAATCATTGGTAGATTCCATTTCAAAATTGTTAAAATTATAATTTATATGTATTTGGGTTTCGATTTTCTAAATTAAATAGAAGTATGGAACGGCACTAATTTAATTTTTTAGTCAGAAATTCAGCTTCTAGTTAATGATAATGCAAAATTAAAATAACGAAAAAGATTTTGAGAATTTCTGTTAGTTTAATATTTATTGAATATATGTGAAAACTTGCGTTTACTCAACTTAATTAAAATAAATAGTAAACAAATCAATGAAATAAGGTAAGTGCGCCTAATGTCGGCATCCTATAACCAAATATGAAAAGTAACCTGAATAATCGTCAATAATATTGCAACCTATCTCTGTGTAAAATTTCAGCCACATTTTTGCATTTTGTGAATGATGTCCTTTCAACTCTGATGATAATTAATTTTTCTTAAAAAAATTAGCGGGCATGTCGATTTTAAAAGACTTGTATCTGTATTAAAATTATATATTTTTTACAAGGATATTTTTCGTAATTGTAAGGAACATACAGGAGTACTCTTTAGAATTTAAAATTATATTATTATCGATGTCGTCCGTAGGAACAACAATTTTTTAAGCCTTTCCTATAGTCGGCATATGGGTGAATAACAAGCACCGTTTTGAACATTTTAGCTCAAAACTGTAAAAAATGTTAAAGAAGTGCTCAAAATAACGATTAATTTATAATAAATTAGTTTTGAATGGTTTTATTTTAAAACTCCTTTAACCTATGAAATGCGTAAATTAGCCATGCCGAGAATTGGGTAACAGGTTCCCAAGTCGACACCAAGTTTTACAATTGTAATATTTTCATTTAAATTTTATTTGAAATAAAATTATTATTATATTTTTCATTGCAACACTGATGGAAACGTCCAATAATATTAATTTAATGCGAATAGCAGAAAAATCGATTAAGTATATGATTTGTGTTTAACTAAAATGCGACATACCGACTATTGGCATAAAAACAATATTTTACATAATTATCAATATACTCAAATTTAATATAAACAATTTCAACAAATTTTTATTGCATCGGGGAGTAAACAAAATATCGAAACAGATGAACTTAAATAGAGTATAGATTTGTTGTTTTCCTACAATGCCGACATTTTGAAACTGGTAAATAACTGATGATTAAAAGCGAATCCTTTGTCTCCCGTCCCAATAACGTTGTACCTATTTTTCATACTAATTACTACGTTTATAACGAACATGGTTATAACGAACTTTTTTCTATATATATAAAATGTATAGAAACGCAATAAAGTTGAAAAAAATACTATCATTATTTTTTACACACTTATGTGGGTCTGATAAATTCTCCTCCTACGTTTATAACGATCCATATTGTTCGGTCCCATTGAGGTGAATGAGAAATAGCGAAAATAAGATAGGGAAACCGCTGAAGTACTGACCACTGTTACACTTAGCCTACACGACAGTTATAACTAGGGTTTGGGAATTCCCGACTTTTTTTCATTCTCGGGAAATTAAAAATTTGCATTCCCGGAACTTTTCACAAAATTTGTAAGTAAAAATATTAAAGGGTAGGAATGATATTATATTAATTAAAAAATTAGAATTATAAAAAATTGACGTTCTTCTTCATTGTACAATAATACTTAAAAAGAAGTAATTAACAATTCATTTTCAAATAAAAGTATTTTAGTATGTTTTTAGCAAAATATTGTATTAAGAATGTGTACAAATACACATTAACATGAACATGAAGAATTTTTAATTTGTGCATTCAACAGGTTGCTTGATATAATGTTTCTTATGTTGAGGTCAAAATGCCCAGCAGGACTTTTACTCACTTTATATAAAGCTTATTTCTTTAAAAAAAACTACTGTGACAAGGTGTTGATCTTATAGGGGTTGACTTTGCAACCATTTTAATTTAATTTCAAAATATGTATACCTTTGGAGTATCTTCATCAGTACTAGATGACCAGATTCTACTTCATTGAAAACCTAAATATCGGGAAATCCCGACCCCAAACCCTAGTTAGAACTAAAATGTAAACAACCAAAAAATCGTCATCATATCTACAAATAATTGAAAGAGTTTGTATATTTTCATTAACATCGGGCCATGTAAAAAGCTTGTTTTCACTTGGCTGTACCCGGACTTGTTTATCACAAGCTTTGTGTTTGTACATTTACAAAAAAAAAAAATTGGTAGCACACCATCCGGTTGTTCAAGAAAATATTTTGTATAAAAGGAAACGTTATTTATGTTGCGATGTGATGCGACCTAGTGTTCATGTTCGTTATAAAACAGGAAAATGACAATTTACGCACAAGAATTTATTCTAAGGAAAATGTTGTAGTTGTTTCCAAGTTTTAGAACACCATGTTTTTGTTGTACTTACAATTGTTGTGACAAACTTGTATTTTTGTTGTTCGTGTCTACCCAACACAGGGTTTAAATGTTTTAGTCCGGATATGAAGTAATGGTAGGTAGTAAAAGAGTTGCGACACTCTTCAATGCTTAGTTCTGTTGTGGCTTAAAAATGGTATACCTATGTTGGAAAAAATGCCATACCTGTGAGATTTCCAGTTTTCAATTGCATTTAATTCATTTTAGCTTTATTATATACAACACATTTATTATGGTATTGATGCAACATTACCAACAATATTTGAATTATACTAAATAAAGGGTATACGTCGGTATATACTTAGGAATTGGAAACTGTTATAAAACTAAACACAATAAATATTAGTTTTAAAAGTGATCATGAATTTCATAGTTCTTCATTAGTTCTCATCATTCATGGGCGCTCTAGAAAAGAAGTAAACCCATCTTGGGATTTTGCTTCAATAAGATACTAGAACTTCAGTGTCTTTAGTGATGTCATTCAGTCCTGTCGTCTGCTAATTTCCTATTTGTTAAGCGTCAATAGTAGTTTTGTCTTATATTAATTTGTGTCTCCCCATAAAATTGTTTTGTTTCCAATCGGTCAGCAGCACTTCTGGCGATTAGGTTTGATATCTCATTTGCTGTTATTTCTATGGCACTCTCTACTCATATGACCCCTAAAAGGCCGTGGCGATAGAAGTTAATAAGCAGAAGTTAATTCCAGTTTTGGAAGTTATTGTTTTTATGCCTTTTTACTATGCGTCATTATATTTGTGTCCTGATTTTTTTCTTTTACTTATTAATTGCAATAGACATAGATAAGGTCGTGAGTTTTGCGTTCAATACATTACCAATTTGTTTTCCATTTTATTAACACACGATTTCATTCGTTCATCAAGAAAGCCTTTCGGCATGAAAATGATAAGAAAATTTATTTCTATTTAGAAAGAAAACTTCAGAGTTTTTAACACTTTTCACTAAAACTGAATACATATTGTGGGATTTTTTTAGGTACTGATGTTAGTTTTCCTTTCGAAAAAAGAAATACAAAAAAGAAAAATAAGATAGAAAGATAGAAGAACGCATTTGAATGGTGGAAAATATAATCGTACCACCCAGCCACTAATATTTTGCAAACACAGATCATAAGGGTCATAAATTTAAAAAATTAAATCTGGTTGTACTCGGTTTTGCTGGGAAATGTCTTTCAGTACAACCATTAAGAAACTAAGAAATGATATGCATAAATTTTGAAAAGAATGAGCAAACGGAAATTATTATTTCTTTTTTTTTCTACGATAAAAATATCTGAGACTTTCTTTTACTTTTTGTTATTGTAGTTTTTCTGTATGGAAGAATTGGATTGTCTTAATGAAATTAAAGCATAAATTGAAATTTGAATATCAAAAATGCATCTTTGTCATCATCAATTACTATCTAACATTAATATAAATATTCAAATCCCAGTGTACAGGTCGTCGCCACTTAAAGGATTTACGTATTTTA